GGGCAGTGTCACTGGCCCTCATATGTGGGATCCGAACCGGGGCCCTCTGGCGTCCCAAGCCAGTTCTTAACCATCGCGCCACTCAGCCGGCCCCAGGAAGGTTTTTAAAAAGCTAAATCATACTGTTAACAACAGATTGGACCCGGGAGGGAATCCTGGTGTTGAAGGCAAAGGACAGAGGGAGGGTTTGATGCATCCTGCAGGGCCATCCTGGCACCGCCCACTTGGCAAAGGCTCACTTGACAAAGGCCTGGAGTTTGAGGAAGACATTTAATCCACAGGAGCCACTCTCCACACCTTAGTCTTTAATAGGATCAACGTGGTGGCCCAGAAGCTAAGGTCTCCCCCCGGCTGGGTGTCCCAGAGAAAAGCCTCTCAGTTTCCTGTCCCCGGTGGAGGGGGATCTTCCAGGCCAGTCTCCTGCTTCTCTCTGGGTCTGTTCTCCTGGCCCTGTTGTGGTTTGGGAAGTTCTCACCTGCTCTGCACCAATGCTTTCTGGAGAGGCCCTTATTCATCAGCTCTTTCTGAAAGGGCTTTGATCTTTTTGAGAAACTTCTTGCCTGTGCAAACAAATCCTTTCACAATGATCCTGGGACCCTCACTTGTAGGGGGAACAAATCTTCTAGCTTCCTCTTTGGTGATAGTTGAAAATACTCTCAAAGTCCCTAATGATTTGAAGGGGCTGAATGAGGAGCTCAATTTTGAACATGGACGGTATTAATATCATTATTAATAATAGTAATAATAATAGCAACTATTTATTGAGCTCTTAATTTATTCCAAGTGCAGTGATAAATGGCTTACATGCATGATCTCATCTAGGCTGCCCAAGAAGTAGCTTTTATCATCCCCTTTCTGCAGATGAGACAGGAGCTCAGCAAGATGAAGCCAACACATGAGAGTGCACAGCTAGTAAGAGGCAAAGCTGTGATTTAAACCCAGGTTGTTCCATCCGAAGCCCTGATTATTGATATTATTTTTAGTTTCACATCAGCCTTTCAGGGAGCTTTAGAGCAGTCAGAAGTCTTGCTTACCCCTCCAAGTGGGCCACTAACAGCAGAAGCAATAAGCAGGGCGTTCTCTGAGCTGCCTGGGGCCTTCAGGCGAGTTACAGATGTGGGAAGAGGAACATTCTTACTGGTCTCCTGATTCTGAGATAAGGGGTGATGACTTCCCCTGTGGCGATGATTTCGAAAGGAAACCCAAGCCTATAAACATTCTTTGGCCTCCTCCCCAACGGCCAGGCATGTAATTGGCAGTTGTGCTGTAGCAGGGCGTGGGGCAGGGATCAGCTATTGGCAGCCTGTTTATAAACAGGGCATGTGGGAGGGTACTCGGCTTTTTGTAGAACCTTCAGGAGAGAAACCACTGGGCTCACTGAGTGAGAAATGCAAGCTCTGAGACCCCAGCATGCCATGTGTGGGAAGAGCTTTGCCCTCAGGGCCCCCTCCTGTCAATCTCCTTCCATTTTGCCTCCACTGCCTTCAGCCAATTTTATGACTAGGAAAGTAAAGGTAGAAGGGGTATCTCAAAAGGCAGAGAGAAACAGTTAAGAAATGCGAGGTTGCATCTATTCATCAGGATGCTTTTGTGCAAATGAAAAAGGCACCTCCTCGGTTTGCTTTTGCTGTCATCTGCCAGGAGTTGCCCTAATGCAGATACAAAACTCCCATCACGGGGCCGGCCGAGTGGTGTGATGGTTAAGAACTGGCTTGGGACGCCAGAGGGCCCTGGTTCCGATCCCACATATGAGGGCCAGTGACACTGCCCTCTACAGCTAAGATGCTGAACAACAGCTCAACCGGGAGCTGGGCTGCTGTGAGTCACCGGCGACGGCGTAGGCTGCAGCCCCTGTGGCAGTGGGTTGCCATGGGCTACCGTATGTATCTANGGGGTGGGGGTGGGGGTGGGGCGGTCAGGGAAGCTGAAGAAGATTTGGAGAAGATAAAGGGGCCCTCCCTGGCACCGCATGGAGTTGCAGGACGAGTGGCAAATTCCTCCTACTTTGGAGACAAACTTACCTCCACGTGGGAAACCCAGCCCTGCCTTTTGCCTGTTGTGTCACTGTGTACAAGCTACCAACCTAACTCAGTGCACGCGCTGGAGAGGGGGATGTACCTCCGCTGAGTTACTGGGGGCACTGCGTGAAATGAGATGTGGAACTCAGAAAATGCTAGTTATTACAAAAACCCCTATGATAAACCCATTAGATGGAGAAATCTCTTGGGCATCAATAAGCCTCATCTTTTTATTCCACATGATTTTCTAAGTAACCAAATTCTAGGAGGTGCGTTGTGGTGCCATCTTTGTGCCCCAGCCATATCCACCAGGCAGGTATTTCCCAAACAGGTCCTGACGCTGGGTTTGAAGCCAGATGTGACTACGCGGAGCTGCAGCGCGGCCCGCAGCAGGTCTGCCCTCCCTCCGTCTACCCTCTAAGGATGGGGCTGCAGGGGGTGCTCTCCAAAGCCCGGGCAGGCGAGCCAGCATGGAGACCCCACCGCACTCCCCGGAGAGAAACGGCCCCGAGGCCGCGGCTCTTACATAACTGGGATGATGTAACCGCTGGCGGCTCCCGAGGGGCGGGGGCGGGGACACCGAGAGCGCGGGGCTGCGGGACGGTGAGTGCGGCCCGCGCCCCACCGTGTCCCTCTTCCGCCACGCCGTGTGGTTCGTCCAGGGGCTGCGCCAGCACACCAAGTCAGGCGGGCAGGCGGCCGAGGCTGCAGGCTGACGGGGACGCGCCCATGGCTTCTTCGTGATCTCGCTGGACTGACTAAGCGACAGTGGCGCCCGCAGGCTGGCAGCTGCCAGCTGATGTGGGAGACCGCAGGCGGGGCCCAGCGCCTTGGCTCTTCGGGACCGGGCGGGGCTTTGCCGCGCGGGGGCCGGGACCCATTGACGTCAGGCGGCCCGGGCACCTCGGAGCGAGCGGGGCGTTACCTTGGCCGCCTGCGGGGCGTGCTGGGGGAACTGTCTTAGTGGGGCTGTTTTTGGAGTCAGCCAGTTCTAAATTGCTATTGGAGACTTTGGCCCAGTACTTTCCTGGGTGTGTTTTTTCTCACTAATAAAACGCGGTCTGTGGACTGTGACCTTTCGCTCCAGCTGGAATATTCCGGGTGCGGGTAGGCTGTGCTCCCACAGTGTGAGGTTGGTGAACAGTGCTGGATGGTTTCCCTGGCCCCGTGATCACCCTCGCTGTGCCCTGGCCGGCCCTCCACTTCATTGTGGTTTTAAGGGATGGCCAATTTCAGAGGATGGAGAGATGGGTTTTACCTTAGAATTAATTAGGCTTACTATGCATTGGTTTTCAACCCTGTCTGGACATCAGAATCACCAGGGAGAATTAAAAATACTAGTTTTCAGTCCCTACCTCTAGAGATTCTGAATCTGTTGGTCTGCACTGGGGCCTACACTGACATTTTATAAACATCCCCTAGGTGATTCTCACATGCAGTCCAGTTATCTCTAAGAGACTTCCTCTCCTCACTGCACTAAGTTTTTATTAGTAACTAAGGCAGCCCGGGCAAAGTTCCATCATATGCGACTTGAGGCACCATTCCCAGGGCAGGCAGCTGCTGCTGCTTCCTTCTCTTCCTTCTCTTCATGCTTTTGGAAAAAATACAGACCCTCCTCAGAGGCCAGCGCTGCAGAGAATGGTGGGAAGTGTAGCGTCAACCCCGACTCACTACATTTAGAGGAATACGCTGGCAGCCTCTTTCTTTCAAAGGGGTGTACTCAGGCAGTGGCCACTATTTGCTGGGTCTTTCCATGTTACACGGAATGTAGTATGGAGAGCTTGAGTCAACTTCCTGCCCCGGCGAAAGCAGGCTTCTAAAAGTCTCTCCTCAGACTCTTCTGTGAAGGTGGAGGGGGACAAACTTAGGTGGGTCTCCCTATGGTTGTGCATTTAGTGAACTGGAGGAAAAGACAACACCTTTGATTCCAGGGTGAGCGTTGGTAGGTAGTTTGGGTTTACAATGTTTTTTTCTTGAGACTTTCATAAAGCTTCCCTATATTGGGTCCTTGGGCAGCAGGACCTAGTCAGTTTCCTAAACTTGCCCTTGCCCCAATCTAAGAACTACCAGGGGCAATTAAAAAGCAAAAATCAGATGCTTGAGTCCCTGGTAGGTGTGGATGTGACCTAAGCAAATTTCATATTGAGTAAATTGGGGAAAACAAGTGCCTAGAACCTTGCCCTCTGGTGATTACTGTCGTCAGGGGATGGGGAAACACCATGCACATACAGTGGCTGCTAAGTTTGAATCAAAATCACGTGGAGGAAATAAGTCAGTCAGAGAAAGACAAATACCATATGATTTCACTTACATGTGGAATCTAAAAAACTGAATGAATGAACAAAGTAAACAGAAGTGGTCTCAGAGATATAGAGGAACAACTGATGGCTGCTGGTTGGGAGGGGGTGGGGATGAGGGAGAAAGGGAAGGGATTAGACAGCATAAATACGCAACTACAATATTACCACAGGGACATGAAAGACAGTTCGAGGAATATAATTAATAATGTTGTAAATATTTTGTAGGGTGTCAGATGGTCATGTCTTGTTAGGGAGACCGCATCATGG